AGTAAACCTAATTCCTTGACGAAAAGGAAACCTACTTAAATAAATTAAAGCGGAAACTAGATATCAATCCTTGGAAAAGATTATCTTTAGACTAAAACCTTAACTAAGATAAAAATTTAATTATAGTCATTTGACTTATGTCCACGTCAGCATTTATATTTAATGTCAGACTTAATTTCTTTTATGCAATTTTTTTCTTTCTATATTATCCTTGAGTGAATTGTAATGACTCATATTTAATTTATTTATAACTTATCATTTTATATTTCTTCTTCTTATACATGTAATATTGCATGATTTAATTTTACCATTTTTTCCAGTGTTGATGATTTATTTTTACCTTCTCATATATCTAATCTACTGATATTTTCTTTTTGATGCTAATGTATCAATACTTCTGTACCTATATGTACGTATGTACTGACATTTCCGCCCGATACTTTTGTACCGATGCTAACGTATCAATATGACACGCCTTGATCCCGATATTCCCAAATACCAGGATGGGCACATGTTGGCCGACACCTGAGGGTGACAAAGCCATTTAAACATGCCTATAAAGAAAATATGTAATTAGACAGAAATATAACAATCCATAACTGTGTTCAAAGCATACCACTAATCCAGAATAATGTGAGAGAATTATTACAAAAAAGGTACGAACCGTGGAATGGGACCTACATAGAGGAGGCTCGAAGATGCCTAAGCGGAAGAGCCCTGACGCCGGGATTGTGTGCCTCGACTCTAACTCCTTAGGATGCACAAAACAGAAAATGTGAGTGGACCAAAGTTTATAATAATACTAATAATAGGAAAATCATTTTATTTCTGAACATACTAATCCCTGTTTTGAAAACTCATATAAACTACATATAGGTTTTTCTGAAAACTCTACATGTCATGCAAATGTTCATAAAATCAGTACGTATAAAACCGTGCTCAGAAATGAATATCACCACCGAAGGCAAATCCGTAAATCTCATCAATACTGTACTATCTAGGGGTATCATAGTCACCTGAAGGCAGTACCTATCCATCACCCGAAGGTAAAGCTGTACGACACTAGGTTACGCCAGTGAGAAAACCATGGTCCATCACCTGAAGGTGAAGCTATATGACTCCGGGTTACGCGGGAGAAGATGATGAAGAAATATCTCCAATTGTAAAATTACCAAAATACCCTTGTCGTTTCAAGTCCCGTAAAATCTTTGTTATAGTTTCGAATTACATCCCGCTTACTCCCATGCGTCTGTAGCGACGAGTACTACAAGGACATGCTAAGAAAACAGATCTTATGTGACATGACAAGGCGGTTAACAAAAGTCAACATTTTTGTCTCGAAGGGCATTTTCATAAATTCACACATTAGAATTATAAAAACTGTAATAATTGGAGACGGTTCGTTACACAATACTTTCGTACCAATACTTTTGTACCTATGTGTATGTATGTACTGGCATTTCCATACCGATATTTCCATAGATAAAAAGGAGTTGATATACTATTTCTTTTGTGATATATATATATATATATATATATATATTACGGGTTATTATTTAATTTTTTTAACATATTGATTTTTCTATCATTGACTTCTTAAGGTGATTGACTTAAATTACTATAGACTTAATTTGTTTGTCAGCAAGTATAAATTAGTATAATTTACCTTAGTTTGAATAGTTTATTAACGGAATATATTTAAGCCTTAATTATAGAATAGGTTGACAATTTAAATGGCAAAGTTTGTAAATATGGCAGGTAATAGAGGTATTTTATAATATGATGTGGCGTTGAATATTAAATTAGGGGCTTAAATAAGATTTTAAAACCGATTCAGGTTATGATCTAAAAATTATCTTATTGAGACCCTAAAATCTAAATGCCCCTAAATTAAACCTTGTCCACAGGACAAGAAAATCTAGTACCAATACTTTTGCACCTATCATTCTCTTTTGTCTGTTTGTTTTGGGACATATATGATGAATATCAATTTGGAATGGAATCAATCTGTTTGCACGAGTACTCATGAATTGATATTGTCTGGGCAAGTATGCTTAATGACCAAGCGGTTCTAATATTAAACTAATGGAATTTGGATGCCATTGTTTGTATTTATGATACATATAATTAAATGCATTGGTCTGTTTTAAATTATTATTAAAAAAAAAAAAAAAAAAAAAAGACAATTGGATTATACAAGTATCCATAATGATGACTTTAAAATTAGTAGTGTAATTCATATCCCCAGTTTTGGTTAGACTACATATATGTATTGGGGGCGTTGCCGTATATATGAATGGTGGAGTTTGCAATCTTTGGATTCGATAAACGTCAATCTTTGCAGTGCATAACCGAAAACATGTGAAGGCTCTTGTATTTATACCTTGTATGGAATGATATAAATTGTTTTGGTGAAGCCTTGTTGGCAAGAATGCATTCTATTTCGCTGTGATAGTGGAACTCATCGATTGGCAAGATTTGGTCTGGAATTTTAGTTTCTCGTTTGCTTCTGCTACTCTTAATGAAAATTTGCTAATTAAATTGGTATGTATCCTTTAATTCATATCTGATGCGATCTCAATGTTCATAAGATATTAATTTTGAAATTTTGACAAATTATGGGTTTTTCCATTGATTGGAATTGTTTGAGATTTTGAAGCGTCAATTAGTGTTTTTGCAATTGATTTTTGGACTAGATTGAATTATGATACATGTCGATCTTGTTAAAGAATTATTATATGTAAATCATATTGTTGAAAAGTTGAGATCTTGATTATCTCGTTTTAATCGAGATAACTTGTGCTTATGTCCAAACATTATCAATTTTTAGTTGATCTTGCTCGATGGATATTGAACTAGTTAGGATCAAATTGAAAACAAAAATATTGTGCTTGCTATTCTGATTTTGATCGTTGTTGAAACTAGGGATTTTGGGTTTATGTGAGATAAGTTTTTCCGAATGGATTGTGACTATCTTTTGATACATAGACTGTTTGCATAATAGTTTAGGTGTATATGACTAAACTAAGATTATGCAATTGGTGAGGAATCGGGAACCAATTGGTTCATATCTCCGGTTTCTTTATCGGCTGTGCAGTACATTCTGCTTATGCTTAAGTGGGAGAATCATATGTTCGAATGTAAGCATAAGGCAAAGAGTTAGGCCGGCCATTATAATTCATTTGGTTGAATTATTTATGTTACTTAATTTGTTTAAGTAATGAGAAGGATCCTATTATGTCGGTTAGCATTCAAAAGGAAACGAATTTGGTTTCCATATGGATTCTGATTAGTCATTCATTGTATTGGAATGATTTTTTTTTTAGTTAATATAGTTGCTATACCACATCTTTTACTTAACTTGGTTGTGTTAAGTATAGGCTAGATAAGTGGGAGCAAATTGGTTTGGTTTTGCTATATTGGTTCGCATAATTACAAAGTGCAAATTAAGTATGTTGTGACTTTTGAGTTAATTCTATGATGTAGCTGAAAAGATTCTTAAGTTCAATACTTTAAAATACATAGGTAAGTTGTATGTGAGGTTAAGCTTTTGTTATCCAAAAGATTTGGTGGCTATATGAGTGGGAGTAGACGTCTTGCTTTACTTTTGAGCTTAGATACATTGCTATGAACATGAACTGGACATTGTGATTTGTAAAGTAAATCTGTATTTTGTGTTGTAGAGGCAATTATAAATTCATTGTTTTGGTTTATGTAAGCTGGTTGTGTCTATGTACTAGTGTGTTGATGAATGACTTATGTGATCACCTTTATATTGAATTTGAGATGATTATTCACTATTATGAATCATACTCAAGTGGGAGAATGTTAGAGTATGAGTGTGATTCATACGGTTTGGTAATAATCCTTGTTGTCTCAGATTGCTATAGAGAAGTCTTAATATGTTTATGAGAGTTAATTCGACTTTGGTTTGGATTGAAACTCTATGTTGATAAGCTTAGGAATAGAACTCGTACAAGGATTTTGTCTTGTATTCCTTGTAGGGTTGTAATAGGGCAATCTATGGTTAGTATAAAAACATAAGCCACTGCTCTCACAAAGCATACGCTCAATATTGAACTAAGACCTATTGTTAGTTTGAGTACTTTTGGTTTTGCAAGAGAGGAGAAGGTGCACTGTTTGAAGTCTGATTTGGCTTCTTCTTCTACTATTTTTACAGGTTAGTTTGTCATTATGTTTATCGAATTGTAATTTTAATACTTGTATAAATTTGTGGTTCATGAGCTTAATCTCTTAACTTGTAATTTTTGATAAGTTTAGTCTTACAAGCTCCACATTCACATCAAAATATTTCCAGTCACGCACGCCATATTGGACCATCACCACCTTCCCAACAAGAGGAGAGAAACTTGCCAATAATTACCTACTGAATGAGACTTTTTTCATCTTCTTTTTTTCCAGTCACGCACGCCATATTGGACCATCACCACCTTCCCAACAAGAGGAGAGAAACTTGCCAATAATTACCTACTGAATGAGACTTTTTTTCTTCTTCTTTTTTTGCGTAAATTAACCTTTGTAATGCTGTAATTTTGAGGATCAGGAAGTAGCTAGCAAGCACAAAGCATGGAGAAGTTTGTGGTATCATTTGTTGTTGAAAGACTTGGGGACCTGCTGATTGAGAAAGCCACCTTGTTACATGGGGTCAAGCAAAACGTTGAGCAGATCCCCGTCGAACCAAGGCGGATGCAATGCTTCTTGAAAGATGCCGATAAGAGGCAAGACGAAGATGATAGCCTTCGAAATTGGGTTTCCGAGATTTGATAAGTTGCTTATGATGCCGAGGATGTCATTGGGTCTTTTACCACCACAAGTGCAACACCAATTTCCAATCCGCTAAAAAGGAACGCTTGTTTTTTCAACCGAGCTTCAAACCTAAATGAAATTGGGTCTGAGATTGAGGCCATCAAAGCTAGAATCTCTGACCTTTAATTTGCATAGAGGGGAATTAAACCAAAGAATCGGTAGTGTTCCTCGGATAGATATAACCAAAGTTTAATTCTTTCAAGAGTAATATTATTGCATATCACAATATTTCTTCTAAGTTATTACTTCCCTGTTAGGATCAACTCTAGCAATACCATCAGCATAACATGCCGGATCAGTAAATAAATCCCACGGCCACTTCCGCAAATACATATGGGGTAAATTTTCGTTGATCTCAGAAAATGATATATCTTGGTAGGAATAGTCCTCCATGTCATGGGCAGGAGGAGAAGCAAGAGAACTGCTTGCAGTTGTCCCCAACTCATTGAGCTGCTTGACGGCGTCAGCCCTCTCCTGCAACTCCAGTGCGCCCTCAAGTTCCACCTGCACTTCACCCATCGTGGGCCGTTCAGCTCCTGTAGGGCGCACACATCTCTCGGCGATGTTCATAAATTTTCTCAAACAATCTGGAGCTACTTTTCCCACCAGAAATGGATCAATCATAGCAGGGAAAGTCTCACCCCTTTCCACACATTCAGGTATCTCTCTTGAACCAGATTTGGCACACAACACTTCAAATAACACCATTCCAAATGAAAAGACATCAGATTTTTCGGTAAGTTGCCCGGACAATGCATACTCTGGATCAAGATACCCGAATGTACCAGACACCCGCGAGTTTAATTTGATTAATGCATTTGATAAGGCAGGAGGACCCATCTTGGACAACCCGAAGTCAGAAAGCTTGGGCACCAAGTTTTGGTCCAATAGAACGTTGGAGCATTTCACGTCTCGATGGATGACAGCATGCTTAACCCCTGCGTGGAGGTAGTGTATTACGCTCGCCACCCCAATACAAATTTTCAGCCTTTGCTTCCAAGTCAAGGGAAAGGGATCTTTATTTTTAATATTGGAAGGATCAAAGAGGTAATCAAAGAGTTCACCGTTGGGCATGTAGTCGTAGACAATCATACACTCTCCATTTTCTTGGCAGAATCCGATGAGAGAGATGAGGTTGGGGTGGCGCGGCTGGCACAGTAGCTGTACGTCCGCCCTGAACTCACGCATTCCTTGTTCTGAACCTCTGGAAATGCGCTTGATTGCAACGTCTTTCCTGTCCTCATCCCCATCGACCTTAATACGCCCTTTGTATACTGGGCCAAAGCCAATGCCGCCAATGTATATGCTCTCGTCGAAACATTGAGTTGCTGCACTGATCTCGGCATATGTAAACCGACGGCATAGTTCTTCTGGAAACGCCCAATCTTTTTGTTTCTTCTTCCGAAGAGAGAAGAAATGCGAGACAGACTGCCCCATCACACATCGAAGCATGGACTCACAAAGTGGTCCTCCTCATCCTATAATATATAGATATTTGAGGAGAGGATCCAAAATCATTAACCAGCTGCTGCATGGAAAGTTTCTTCTTCGAATATTTGCTGCAAATGGCTGGCAGTTTGGTGCCCTACCATTCCCAGATGAACTTGCTTCCAAACAAATGGGTTTATAAAATAAAGCGTCGTGCAGATGTTTCCATAGAACGTCATAAGGCAAGGTTCGTAGCCAATGGCTTCAACACTGAGACTTTTAGCCCAGTTGTCAAACATAGTACTATTCGGATGGTTCTCAGTCTTGCCCTTGTCTGGTGGTCTAAGTGGAGCACTCTTGTTTGATGGTCTAAGTAGAGCATCATGGTCTGGCGGTCTAAGTAGAGTACAATCTTAGAGTTGTCAAATACAATTTCAATTTTTTTTTTTCTTTTTTATGAGAAGGTATTTATGGAAAACTGACCAACCTCAAATTTCAAAATGAAATTGTAATTCAAGAAGAAGAGTTATTCTAATAAAAAAGAGGGGAAACTTGATATAAGTCCAATTTTTTGAGCCAATAGTAGGAATAGTCCAGTTTATTAAAATAAGTCCAATTTGTTATATTTAATTAATATCCTCATTGAAATATGGGGGTGGCTTTTTGGCTTTCTACCAGTCGTTGGGTAGGTTGAATGTTGAGTCTAAATTTCAAGCTCGAATTCAATATTCAGCGCTATCTATCTGCTTTGACAAAGCCATTTGCGGTGGTCTGTCTGCATTGCTTGCGTTCCAATCCAACTTGAAGGTTGGTCAGTTTCATTGAAATTTGAGGCTGCCGAGATTGTACTCTAATTAAAAGTTATTGTGATCTACTTAGACCGCCAGAAGAAAAGTTATTCTAATCCTCTGAGAAAACTGACCAAATGAAAACTCGGCAGTTGGATTGGGACCACTATTTTTGGAACCAGGATCCTCACCGGATCCATTCCCTAGGGATCATGCAATCGTGTCTGTTTATTGTATATCGTGCGACCAGTTTTCATTATGTACTATTTATATTTGAATTTTAAATTTTAAATTTTAAATGATTTATAACCGCACGATATACGATGAACGGACACGATTGCGTAATCCTTAGGATCCCTAGGGAATGGATCCGGCGAGGATCCTGGTTCCTATTTTTGTATCCCCCAGAATAAAGGGTTGAATTGAAATGAATAAGCCACTATTTTTTTTTAGGGGCTTTTAGATCCAGGTCCAAAAACGTAGAGTGTTTTTAGGAGTGAGTCCAGTTATCTAATTATATGTTTTTATTTCTTTTATACTCATTTTATATTTTCTAAAAATATTAAAAATCAATTAAAATCTTCTAATATTATGCATTTTCCAACTCCAAAAGAATATATTTAATATCTTGTAACAAAACTAAAATAAATTTATCTGCAAAACATTCTACCCTAACTCAAGTAACAAATATATGAATGTATATAATATACCTACACGTGAGATATGAAACCTAATTAAAGGGTAGAAAAAACATAACATACCTACAAGTAAGACACATTAATCTGTGACAGGTTGATTATAAAAAAAGAATCTGTCATATAGGTAGATAAATATAATTAACCTGTAATATAGGTCGATTACAAAAATTAAAAATAAAATCTATAAATGGGGTTTAAAGTAGGAGGAAGAACGAGAAATAACAAAAAGATAAATAAAAAGAAATAAGCAAAGAGATAATTGGGAAGAAATTTGATTTTTATAATAGATCTTATCATTGAACAGATAACTATTGATAATTAAATAATTAAATATAACAAATTGGACTTATTTTAATAAACTGGACTATTCCTACTATTGGCTCAAAAAATTGGACTTATATCAAGTTTCCCCTTAAATTAATCAATGCTGATTAAGTGAAATGCTAATCAATTATACAAGAAATACAAGACAAACTAGACTTGTACCGAAAAATCAACACTATTTTAATCAAGATCAGCTGACCCGGTAAACAAAACAAAAAGGAGTAATATCCATTGGTATAATTGAAATACATCAATGTTGAATTGTCATGATTCTAATTTTGTACGAGGGTTATTGTCCCAGCAGTGCAAAAAATTATGCTCTATGTATACAAGTAGATATACCAATGTTGAATTGCATGCATTAATTTTCTACTGAAAATTTGCAGCAGGATTGGAACTAATGCTACAGAAAACGGAGTTAGGAAACCAGAGAAGCTATATTTCTTCGGTGACCAAAAGAAGCTGAAAATAACTCTTTCGATCAGCATAGTTGCATATATTTTCTCTGCTGATGGTTGTGATTCTCTAATGATGTACTGAAGGGGCATTTGTTTAGTTCGAGTCTCGACCGTTGACTTTGGTTGTCAATGTATTTTTGAAATACTTGGTATAATTGATTATGGCAACAGAGCCTTGATGGTAACCATTGTCAAAATCCATTCAAAACATTTTCATGGCTGAGACTGGAAACCAAGAATAGTGAGATTTATGAGTTTAAGCACAAGTATTTTTGACATTGTTCTCGCTCTAGCTCTCAACGAAGCTGGTAGTTTATTCTTCCAGCATGATTTTTTCTTTACCTTCACAATATTTCTTCTATGTTATTGCTTTCCTTTTAGGATCAATGCTAGCAATGCTATCAACAGAAGCTGCCTCATCAGTACTAAATGAATCTCACTAATATACAGAAAGTTTCATTGATCTCAGAAAATGATATATTTTCGTAGGTATAGTCCTCCATGTCATAGGCAGGAAGAGGAGGAGCAAGAGAAGTGCTTGCACTTGTCCCCAACTCCTTGAGCTGCTTGACGGCGTCTGCGCTTTCCTGCAACTCCAGTGCGCACTCAAGTTCCACCTGCACTTCACCCATCGTGGGCCGTTCAGCTCCTGTCCGACGCAGGCATCTCACGGTGATGTTCATAAATTTTTTCAAACAATCCGGAGCTACTTTTCCCTTCAGAAATGGATCAATCAGATCCGGGAAGATCGCACCGCTGCCGGGGCGTTCATTTGACAATATTAGAATAGATTTGGCACACAACACTTCTAATAACACCACTCCAAACGAGTAGACATCAGATTTTTCGGTAACGTTGCCGGAATCTAAATACTCTGGATCAACATAGCCAAATGTACCGGTGAGGTTCGAGTTCATTTTGATTAATGCATTTGACAAGGCAGGAGGACCCATCTTGGACAAACCGAAGCTGGAAAGCTTGGGCACCAAGTTTTGGTCCAATAGAACGTTAAAGCATTTCACGTCTCGATGGATGACAGCATGCTTAACCCCTGCGTGGAGGTAGTGTACTGAACGCGCCACCCCAATACAAATTTTCAGCTTTTGCTTCTGTTAAAGAAGATATCTTGGATTAGTATAGTGAATCTTGTAAATCTGTACTTAGCCTTTACTTACCTGATAAGGTTTGACTTCCTTGTTTCTAGGCATTAGTTTAGGATTAGGGTTGTGTCTTTCGTATATATATTGTAACCCTAGCCTTCGGCATGATTATGAAAAGCATTCTGCAATATCACGTTTTCTTATATGGTATCAAGAGCCAACGATCTAGCAAAACCTCGACAGATATTAAACCCTAGCAACCATAGCCATGGGTGAAAAACCAGAACAGTCAACCTCCTCAGGCATGACTTTGCATCAGAAGTGGGAACACCCTAATCATCCACTTTATCTTCATCACTCGGATCAGCCTGGCGCCATTCTTGTACCGCAGCCACTCGTGGAAGACAACTATGGCACATGGGCGCAATCCATGACCATGGCCTTGATGGTTAAAAACAAGTTAGGGCTGGTTGATGGAACAATCGCGAAGCCAACTGATGCACAGGTTGAAGAGTTACAGCAATGGAACCGGTGCAATAATCTGGTGAAAACATGGTTGCTCGGTTCCATGTCAAAAGAAATCTCAGGAAGTGTCATACACTGCAAGGATGCGCGGCAGATGTGGCTTGACCTGCAAGAAAGGTTTTCTCATGTGAACATAGTTCAACTGTTTCACATAGAAAACGAAATCCATAATTGTGTGCAAAGCAACATGACGGTGAGTTCTTACTTCACAAAACTCAAGAGTCTTTGGGATGAACGTGACACCCTATGTTCAATCCCGACATGCCATTGTGAAGCAAGGAACGAGATAACATCATATGTTGAGACTCAGAAAACAATGAAATTCCTTATGGGCTTACGTGACTCATATGCTACAGTTCGTAGCAACACCCTCTTGCTGGATCCATTGCCAACTGTTAACAAAGCATATGCACTTGTTCTTCGTCATGAGAAACAAGTTGAAGTATCAAACGGAAAGGGCAGCACCGTGCAGCCTGAAGCTGCTGTGTTTGCAGTGAGGGGCGCTGGTCGAGAACCCGAGACAGAAGATGGTAGTCAGCGATGCGCCAAATGCAACAAGACCAATCATAGCACCAAGAATTGTCGTGCTCATCTCAAGTGCACGTTTTGCGGTTGGAAAGGACACACTTTTGACCCTTGCCGCAAAAGAAAAGCAGCGGCTGAGACTGAACAAAATCGCCCTTTCAAGGGCAACCAAGTCACGGGTCGTGACAAGAAGGATGCAATGCCCAATTTTCCTTTTTCTCCAGAGGACTGCAAGCAGATTCTTCAGCTTTTGAACAAAAGCAAATCCTCATTTGCTAATCAAGTGGGTAACTCTTCGAATCATGAAGAACTCTCAGGTAAAGCTTTTTCTTTCATGCGTAATGGAAGGCAAGTTATTTGGATTTTGGACAGTGGGGCCACCGACCACATCGTATGCAGTCCTGAGTTTCTCACGTCCTCAAAACGTGTTGAAAATCATAATGTTGAATTACCAAATGGTTCCCTTGCTAATGTAACCCATGTCGGCCAAGTGGTTTTCTCTCCCAACTTTATCCTTGACAATGTTTTATGCGTACCATTGTTTAGGCTAAACCTCATATCTATTAGCAAGTTAGCTTACGATTCCCTTTACATCACCATTTTTCTCAAACAATCTTGTGTCATACAGGACCTACGTTCGGGGAAGATGATTGGGACGGGAATTGAACGGGAGGGACTCTACCATCTCGACCCACCAAGGAAGGGATCCTGCAACACCACCACCACTATGAGTTCTCCTTTTTGGCACCAACGCCTTGGGCATCCATCACCTAAAGTGTCCTCGTTACTTCCCTTTATGCACAATAAGTCATGTGATTCCAATACATGTTTAATTTGCCCATTGGCTAAACAAACCAGATTGTCTTTTCCCTTGAGTTCTATATCTACTCGTTCATGTTTTGAATTAATACATATTGACATTTGGGGGGGTTATCAAGTTCCTTCCCTCTCAGGTGCCAAATATTTTCTTACCATTGTTGATGATTACACACGGTGCACCTGGGTTTATTTGATGAAACAAAAATCTGACACACAAGATATTCTTGTTCAATTTATACACATGGTTGAGAATCAATTCAATACAACAGTTAAGGTGATTCGAAGTGATAACGGTCCCGAGTTCAAACTTGTCACCTTTTATCAACTCAAAGGGATCCTGCATCAAACCAGTTGTGTCAACACACCACAACAAAATGGTGTTGCTGAACGCAAACACCGTCACCTGTTAAATGTTGCTCGAGCCCTCCTTTTTCAAGCCAACCTTCCTAAACATTTTTGGGGGGATGCTATTCTCACTTCGGCCTATCTTATCAATCGTACACCCACACCACTTCTCCAAGGGCAAACACCATACCACAAGTTGTTTCACAAGGCACCTCATTACATGCATTTACGTGTCTTTGGATGCTTATGTTTTGCATCCACCCATGCACAAAAACCCTCTAAATTTGATCCCCGTGCACGACGGTGCATTTTTGTTGGGTATCCTTATGGCCAGAAGGGTTACCGCTTGTTTGACCTTACACTTAACAAGTTTTTTGTGTCACGGGATGTCCTCTTTTTCGAAGACCATTTTCCCTACAACTTACCCCACCCTTCCGCTGCTTCCCCTCCCACTCCTCCTTCCCTTCCCGTAGCACCCTACTCGCCATCCTTTGATCCAGTCCCTATATTTCCCATAGAACCTCCCATCGCTTCCCCCCCTGACATCGCTCTCCCTGTTGAGCCTACTTCCCCTTCCTTACTTTCTTCACCCCCATCCTCTCCGTCTTCCTCTCCTGCTGCACCACCGCCACCCCGGCGTGGCACACGTCCTACCAAACCATCTTCTTTCTTGCAGGATTTCCATGTTGAGACCTCTCTCCCGTCCCGACTTGCTCCTTCCTCGAATATGGTTCAGGTATCAGGTACTGCTCACCCTCTGTCTCATTACTTATCTTACAATCGCCTCTCCCCTATGCATAAGCATTTTGTTACTAACGTCACCACCATTCGAGAACCCACCACCTTCCTGCAGGCTGTCCAACATCCACAATGGCGTGATGCCATGCACCACGAACTTGCTGCTCTTCAGGAAAACCATACTTGGTCCCTTGTTCCACTTCCTCATCACAAAAAGCCGATTGGCTGCAAATGGGTGTACAAGGTTAAGCTTAAACCTGATGGGACCATCGAGCGTTACAAAGCTCGGTTGGTTGCCAAGGGCTATAGTCAAATCGAAGGGGTCGACTATCGTGAAACCTTTGCTCCAGTTGCCAAGTTAACCACTGTCCGTGTACTCCTTAGTGTTGCTGCTGTGCGTCATTGGTATTTACATCAACTCGATGTCAACAACGCCTTCTTGCATGGCGATCTGGATGAGGAAGTGTACATGAATTTACCTCCTGGCTTTGGACGAAAGGGGGAGACTCGTGTTTGCAAGCTACACAAATCCTTATATGGTTTAAAACAAGCCTCAAGACAATGGTTCATTAAACTTTCCACTGCTCTCAAGGCTGCTGGATTTCATCAATCGTGTTCTGACTATTCATTGTTCGTCCGAAGTCAGCACGGTAACTTCATTGCTTTATTGGTATATGTTGATGATGTAATTTTAGCAGGAAATAATCTACAAGAAATTGAAGCCACGAAGCAGTCCCTTTCACAACAATTCAAATTAAAGGATTTGGGACAACTCAAGTATTTCTTGGGGTTAGAGGTTGCACGATCTACAAATGGCATCACCTTATGTCAACGCAAATATGCATTGGATATCTTAGATGATGCGGGATTTTTGGGTGCCAAACCTTCACGGTTTCCTGTAGAATCAAATGTTTCTCTTACACAGATGGAAGGAGAACTTCTTATTGATGCTTCATCATATAGAAGACTTGTGGGTAGGTTGATCTACCTAACCATAACCAGGCCGGACTTAGCTTATGCTGTGCACATGTTAAGCCAGTTTATGGACAAGCCTAGACAACCACACCTTGAGGCAGCACACAAAGTTCTCAGATACATCAAGAGTTCACCGGGACAAGGTATATTGCTGCCATCCAAGGGATCCTTGCAGTTAAGTGCATTCTGTGACGCTGATTGGGCCAGGTGCAAGGACACAAGAAGATCAATAACAGGTTATTACATTCAACTGGGTCAAGCACCGATATCCTGGAAAACAAAGAAGCAAACTACTGTCTCTCGTTCCAGTGCTGAAGCCGAGTACCGTTCCATGGCAGCCACATGTTGTGAGATCACGTGGTTAAAGAACATTTTGAGAGATTTAAAGGTGAGTCATTCACAACCAGTCATGTTATTCTGTGATAACCAAGCAGCCATATACATTGCTTCAAACCCGGTATTTCATGAAAGGACAAAGCACATAGAGATTGATTGTCATTTGGTAAGAGAGAAGATTCAAGAAGGAATGATTCGTACGGCATACATACGAACAAGTGAGCAACCAGCAGACATCTTCACCAAACCGTTGAATTCTACACAGTTTGAAACATTGCTCAGCAAGTTGGGTGTTATTAACATACACTCCAACTTGAGGGGGAGTGTTAAAGAAGATATCTTGGATTAGTATAGTGAATCTTGTAAATCTGTACTTAGCCTTTACTTACCTGATAAGGTTTGACTTCCTTGTTTCTAGGCATTAGTTTAGGATTAGGGTTGTGTCTTTCGTATATATATTGTAACCCTAGCCTTCGGCATGATTATGAAAAGCATTCTGCAATATCACGTTTTCTTATAGCTTCCAAGTCAAGGGAAAAGGATCTTTATTTTTAGTATTGGAAGGATCAAGGAGGTAATCAGAGAGGGTACCGTTGGGCATGTAGTCGTAGACAGTGATACGCTCTCCATTTTCTTGGCAGAATCCGATGAGAGAGATGAGGTTGGGGTGGCGCAGCTGGCACAGTAGCTGTACCTCCGCCCTGAACTCACGCATTCGTCGTTCTGAACCTCCGGAAATGCGCTGGATTGCAACGTCTTTCCTGTCCTCATCCCCATCGACCTTAATACGCCCTTTGTATACTGTGCCGAAGGCACTTTTACCAATACATAAGGTTTGGTCGAAACATTGAGTTGCTGCACTGATCTCAGCAAGTGTAAAACGACGGCATAATTCTTCTGGAAACGCCCAATCTTTTTGTTTCTTCTTCCGAAAAGAGAAGAAACGAGAGACAGACTGCGCAGTAAGCCCCATCACTCCGCATCTAAGACATGGACTGACAAAACGATCCTCCTCATCCTCTCAATATTATGTAGATTCGACAAAGAGGGTCCAAAATTATTAACCAGATCCACCTGCTGGCGGCTGGTTTTTTCTTTGAAATTAATGGCACCGTCAAGACTCAAAAGTCCTCCAAAGACCAACTGAATTTTTTTACGATACGATTTTTTCAGATAAATCCAAACAGAGTATCCTACAAAATAATTGAAGGGCTGTGTGGATATTATATGATGATATGACATCCCCACATTCACGTCAAGACATTTCCAGTAACGCACGCCAGATTGGCCCACTCACCACCTTTCCAACAAGAGGAGAGAAACTTTCAAGCTATCGTCTTATGACGAGAGGGACATACACAAACATGTTAAAGTCCCACATCGGTGGGTGCAAAAGAAACCAAGGGGTTTAATTAAGATTATTCTACTCTAACTAATACCGAGGTCTTTTGTGATAAAACTCCACATCTGACGGATTAGGCAGGTGGTAAAGCTGGGGACAGTATCGGTGTCGCTTGAGTGGGGCATGTCCAACGATTCAAAAATCCAACATGGTATCAGAGCCCATGGTTCGGGCCTGTGCAAGCTAAAGACTTGTCACCAGGAAGGGCTTGAAAATAAGCTTGGAATCTTAACATAGAGCCGGCCTCTAAGTTCCTAAAAAGGCACTTCCTGAAAAAGATTAAAAACAAGTTTAGACTCCATGAGAGCCGACCTCTGAGTTTCAATTACTAGGGGGAGTGTTGAAGTCCCACATTGGTGGGTGCAAAAGAAACCAAGGAGTTTAAATAAGATTAGCCCTCTAACTAATACCGAGGCCTTTTGTGATAAAACCCCACATCTAACGGATTGAGCAGGTGGTAAAGTTGAGAACAATATCAATGTCGCTAGAGTGAGGTGGGCCTGACGATTCAAAAATCCAACAAAACAAACAAAAACTCGAGATATATATATCTAAGAAGTAAGAATCTTCCAATAATTGCATACTAAATGAGATTTGGAAGAAATCTATAAAGAAAATATGTAATTAGACAGAAATATAACAATCCATAATTATGTTCAGAGCATACCACTAATCCAAAATAATGTGAGAGTATTATTATAAAAAAGGTACGAACCGTGGAATGGGACCTACACAGATGAGGCTCAAAGATGCCTAAGCGGAAGTGTCATGACGCCGGGATATGTGCCTTTACTCTAACTCCTAAGGAGGCGCAAAACAGAAAATGTGAGTGGACCAAATTTTATAATAATACGAATAATAGGAAAATCATTTTATTTCTGAACATACTAACCTTTGTTTTGAAAACTCATATAAACTACATATTGATTTTTCCGAAAACTCTACATGCCATGCAAACGTTCATAAAATTAGTACGTATAAAACCGTGCTTAGAAATGAATATCACCACCGAAGGCAAATCCGTAAATCTCATCAATATTGTACTATCCAGGGTATCATAGTCACCTGAAAACAGTACATATCGATCACCCGAAGGTAAAGCTATACGACACTGGGTTACGCCAGTGAAAAAACCATGGTCCATCACCCGAAGGTAAAGCTGTATGACTCCGGATTACACCGGAGAAGATGATGGAGAAATATCTCCAATTGTAAAATTACCAAAATACCTTTATTGTTTCAAGTCTCGTAAAATCTTCGTTATAGTTCCGAATTACGTCCCGCTTACGCCCATGCATATATAGCGACGAGTACAACAAGGACATGCTAAGAAAACAGATCTTATGTGACACAACAAGGCGGTTAACATAAGTCAACATTTTTGCCTCGAAGGTTATTTTCTTAAATTCACACATTAAAATTATAAAAACCGTAATAATTGGGGATGAGTCGTTACACAATACTTTCATACCAATACTTTTGTACCTATGTGTATGTATGTACCGGCATTTCCATACCGATATTTCCGTAGATAAAAAGGAGTTGATATACTATTTCTCTTGTGATATATATATATATATTATATTACGGGTTATTATTTAATTTTTTTAACGTATTGATTTTTCTATCTTGACTTCTTAAGGTGATTGACTTAAATTACTATAGACTTAATTTGTTTGTCAGCAAGTATAAATTAGTATAATTTACCTTAGTTTGAATAGTTTATTAACGGAATATATTTAAGCCTTAATTATAGAATAGGTTGACAATTTAAATGGCAAAGTTTGTAAATATGGTAGGTAGTAGAGGTATTTTATAATATGATGTGGCGTTGAATATTAAATTAGGGACTTAAATAAGATTTTAAAACCCATTCAGGTTAGAATCTAAAAATTATCTTATTGAGATCCTAAAATCAAAATGCCCCTAAATTAAACCTTGTCCACAGGACAAGAAAATCCAGACCAAATCAAATAAAAAAACTAATTAAATCAAGTTTCTAAAATACCTTCATTTATATTTTCCAACCGGCTTAACACTTAACTATCCGATGATGTTGATCAAGTCCAGGCACTCGGCAGCCTCAAATTTCGATGAAACTGACCAACCTTCAAGTTGGATTGGGACGCAAGCAACGCAGACAGACTACACCGCAAATGGTGTTGTCCAAGCACATAGACGCGCTGAATATTGAATCTGAGCTTGAAATTCAGACTCAACATTCAACCCACCCAACGACTGGTAGAAAGCTAGAAAGCCACCCCCAAATTTGAATGAGAATATTAATTAAATTAATCAATGCTGATTGATTGAAATGCTAATACAATATGGTAAAAAGTAAAAACGAAAAGAAAAATATGATCAAAAGGGGGCCAGAATTATTTTCAGCCACCGTCTATATAGGTAGTTGGTTTAGCTTACTGATAGCAATTAGTGAAGAAAAAGGGTGATCTTGTAATTTGATTCAATTTTTCTAAAGTAATATTTTGCTTACCGCCCGGAATATTCGAATTCAGAGCCACTGTCACCAGAAAGTACTGAAACGTTAATACTATTTGACCCAAGATCAGCAGACCCGGTCGGGCTAACTCTCAGAAACGAGAAAGCATCAGTAATTTCGGAAACTGATATCCCTTGATAATCGTACGCACGGTCAGCAGGACCACCAAGAGGAGTGCTAGTTGTCCTCAACTCCTTTTCGGCATCTGCTCTCTCCTGCAGCTCCACCGCACGCTCAAGTTCCACCTCCACTTCACCCATCGTTGGCCGTTGGGCTCCCGTAGGGCAGACGCATCTTTGGATGATGTCCAAATATTTTAGCAAACAATCCGGAGTTATTGTTCCCAAGAGATATGGATCCAGAATATCAGCTGGGAGAGTCATATGTATCCCCGGTATCTCTTTTGAATATTTGGCAGACAATATTTCGAATAACACCACTCCGAATGAGAAGACATCAGATTTTTCCGTAAGCTGGCCGGACAAAGCATACTCTGGATCAAGATACCCGCATGTACCAGACACCCCGGAATTGGAGTTCAATCTGATTAATGCATTTGACAAAGTAGGAGGACCCATCTTGCACAGCCGGAAGTTAGAAAGCTTGGCCTCCAAGCTTTGGTCCAATAGAATGTTGTCACATTTCACGTTGTGGTGGATGACCGCATGCTTAACCCCCGCGTGAAGGTAGTGTATTGCGCGCGCTACCCCGATGCAGATATTCAGCCTTTGCTTCCAAGACAACGGGTACCTATTATTGTTATAAGGATTGAAAAGGAAGTCAGAGAGGAAACCATTAGACATGTAGCTGTAAACAATGATGTATTCTCCCTTTTCTTGGCAGAATCCGATTAGAGAGTTTAAATTTGGGTGGCGCAGCTGACAGAGTAGCTGCACCTCCGCCTTGAACTCGCGTCCCCGCTGAATATCAGAATGTGCACCGGTAATACGCTTGATAGCAACCGTGGAAGTTACCCCGTCAAGGTTGATGTATCCTTTGTAGGCAACTGCAGCACCAACATTAATACCGTCTTTTCTTGTTTCCGGACCCTCAAGGCGATCAAACACCACAAACTTATCTATGAGGCCATTAATTTTAAATGACAGATTTCTGGTACTGCCAATCCGTAATCTAGCGTTGAAGTTTTGAGTTGCTGCTATGATCTCCGCGAGTGAAAACCGACGACACAATTCTTCTGGAAACGCCCATTTAGCTTCATCTCGATCTCTGTCCTTAGGTTTTCCTCTATGATCAGATGAATGTGCACCTTTCTTCCACAAATTATTGAAAAAACGTGACATACCTTACTGTGCAGTACTACTACGAAACCCCATAATCTATAAAATAGAAATAATAAGGATCTTAATTAATTCGTTTAAAACGCGTTAATAAGTCTTGATGCCTTCCAAAATAGAAGACTTCAAAACCAAGTCAATCAACTGAACTGGTCTTGATACATATATATATATATATATATATATGGGGCTACGACTGGGGACACTCATTATTGTTTTGTCAGATTTTGTTGGCCTTATTTAGTAATGTATTTCAACAATTCAACCATTTATCTTTTAGGTCTTACCTCATAGAGTAATGCTATCAAAATTCATTCAAATCCAAAACCATATAACCATCGAATTGAATGATACTTTATTTTAATGTTTCTTTGTATAACCTTGCTCGTTTATTTTCTTTATTACAAATGAATGCCTTAATAGTTTTGGATTGATTTATTTTTTTTCAAGAATGATCTATAAATGATAAATTAAAATATAGACGGTTCAGACTATTGAAAAGAGTTATAGAGTGTGTCCTATAAAGTGTTTGTGAATAAGTGTGTTAAAAATTGAGTGTGCACCAATAAATATCTATGACCTCACGCGATGCTCTAAAATATTAATGTACACCGAGGCTATCTCCACAAATTATTGAAGAAACGTGACATATGGATCTTAATTCGTTTAAACCGCGCTGGTTAATAAATCTTAATGCCTTCCAAAATAGCCAGACATCAAAATCAAGCCAGTCAACTGAAATTAATGATATATATATATATATATATATATATTGTTTGACACATTTTGTAGGGTCTACTTAGTAATATATTTCAACGATCCAACCGTTATTTTTTTAGGTAATCCAAAACCATATAACATTCAAATTGAATGATAGTTATTTTAATGTTTCTTTGCAGAACCTTGTTCGTCCATTTTTCTTCATTACAAATGAATATCTTAAATGTTTTGGATTGATCTAATTTTTTTTAAATGTTGATTTATGAATGATGAATAAAAATATACACGGTTCAGATCCTTAAAAAAAAGTTACGGAATGTATCCTACAAAGTGTTTGTGAAAATGGGTGTTAAAAAATGGGTGTGCATCAATCCTAACCCATATGTATTACATATCAATGTACTCTGAACTGGAAATAGTCGAACGGTTGTGTGGACATTATATATTTATGTGATGATATGAAAGCTCCACATTCACATCAAAATATTTCCAATCACGCACGCCATATTGGACCATCACCACCTTCCCAACAAGAGGAGAGAAACTTGCCAATAATTACCTACTGAATGAGACTTTTTTCTTCTTCTTTTTTTGTGTAAATTAACCTTTGTAATGCTGTAATTTTGACGATCAGGACGTAGCTAGCAAGCACAAAGCATGGAGAAGTTTGTGGTATCATTTGTTGTTGAAAGACTTGGGGACCTGCTGATTGAGAAAGCCACCTTGTTACATGGGGTCAAGCAAAACGTTGAGCAGATCCCCGTCGAACTAAGGCGGATGCAATGCTTCTTGAAAGATGCCGATAAGAGGCAAGACGAAGATGATAGCCTTCGAAATTGGGTTTCCGAGATTTGAGAAGTTGCTTATGATGCCGAGGATGTCATTGGGTCTTTTACCACCACTAGTGCAACACCACTTTCCAATCCGCTAAAAAGGAACGCTTGTTTTTTCAACCGAGCTTCAAACCTAAATGAAATTGAGTCTGAGATTGAGGCCATCAAAGCTAGAATCTCTGACCTTTAATTTGCATAGAGGGGAATTAAACCAAAGAATCGGTAGTGTTCCTCGGATAGATATAACCAAAGTTTAATTCTTTCAAGAGTAATATTATTGCATATCACAATATTTCTTCTGAGTTATTACTTCCCTGTTAGGATCAACTCTAGCAATACCATCAGCATAACATGCCGGATCAGTAAATAAATCCCACGGCCACTCCCGCAAATACATATGGGGTAAATTTTCGTTGATCTCAGAAAATGATATATCTTGGTAGGAATAGTCCTCCATGTCATGGGCAGGAGGAGGAGCAAGAGAACTGCTTGCAGTTGTCCCCAACTCATTGAGCTGCTTGACGGCGTCAGCCCTCTCCTGCAACTCCAGTGCGCACTCAAGTTCCACCTGCACTTCACCCATCGTGGGCCGTTCAGCTCCTGTAGGGCGCACACATCTCTCGGCGATGTTCATAAATTTTCTCAAACAATCTGGAGCTACTTTTCCCACCAGAAATGGATCAATCATAGCAGGGAAAGTCTCACCCCTTTCCACACATTCAGGTATCTCTCTTGAACCAGATTTGGCAAACAACACTTCAAATAACACCATTCCAAATGAAAAGACATCAGATTTTTCGGTAAGTTGCCCGGACAATGCATACTCTGGATCAAGATACCCGAATGTACCAGACACCCGCGAGTTTAATTTGATTAATGCATTTGATAAGGCAGGAGGACCCATCTTGGACAACCCGAAGTCAGAAAGCTTGGGCACCAAGTTTTGGTCCAATAGAACGTTGGAGCATTTCACGTCTCGATGGATGACAGCATGCTTAACCCCTGCGTGGAGGTAGTGTATTACGCACGCCACCCCAATACAAATTTTCAGCCTTTGCTTCCAAGTCAAGGGAAAGGGATCTTTATTTTTAATATTGAAAGGATCAAACAGGTAATCAGAGAGTTCACCGTTGGGCATGTAGTCGTAGACAATCATACACTCTCCATTTTCTTGGCAGAATCCGATGAGAGAGATGAGGTTGGGGTGGCGCAGCTGGCACAGTAGCTGTACCTCCGCCCTGAACTCACGCATTCCTTGTTCTGAACCTCTGGAAATGCGCTTGATTGCAACGTCTTTCCTGTCCTCATCCCCATCGACCTCAATACGCCCCTTGTATACTGGGCCAAAGCCAATGCCGCCAACGTATAAGCTCTCGTCGAAACATTGAGTTGCTGCACTGATCTCGGCATATGTAAAACGACGGCATAGTTCTTCTGGAAACGCCCAATCTTTTTGTTTCTTCTTCCGAAGAGAGAAGAAATGCGAGACAGATTGCCCCATCACACATCGATGTTGGATAGTGGCCAACTTGGCTATGCTTTCGGCTAGACAACAACTTGCAAATGCTTTTGGCTATAAAAAATTATAAAGAAAGAAAGGGAGAAACACCTTTCCTTGTTTTGGGAGAAAAAAAGGGAAAAGCAACAACACCTTTTATTATTGTGTTTGTTCTCTTCACCACCCGTGAGTTTTGGCTCCTTCATAATGGAGGGTTTGGTTGCTTTCTTCCATTTGGTTGTGTGGTACAGAGAGAGAAGAGAGCTGCTGCCCTTTTGTTTTCAGAGGAGAAAAATAGAGAGAAAAAATCAGAGAGTTGCAGTCTTGCAGAGAGCCCAAAAAGAAGAACAAGTTGCTGCTTCATTTGGTTAGTAATCATCCACCAAAGTAGATGTTGTTGTAATAGCTTTGAGCTATATGTATAGAGAAGAAATTATTCATTATATTTCTTTCTCTATTTGTTTCTTTGGTGTGTGAGAGCTATTGGGTGTATTGGGCTTTTGGGTTGTGAGATTGCCAACACTTTGTAAACTCCCATTTGGTTGATAGTGGATTATTGGGTGAGCTCCTACTGCTCCGAGGACGTACTCCAGTTACACTGACTGTGGAGGAACCTCGATAAAATCTTTGTGTCTTTTATATTTTGTTCTTTCATTTTCATTTGATAAATTTCCTGTGGGCTAGCCTGAGTTGGTTCCAAAATTTTGGTGTTATCCTTGCACAACAATTGGTATCAGAGCACTGGTTGCTCTTGGGTACTGTCTAATTGCCAAAAATGTCAGACGGGCAAGATGAGAATCCTTTTGGAAGCAGCTCCGGGTTTGCAAGAACTACGGTGCAAAATGCAAAGTTCGAAGTTGAAAAGTTTGATGGCATAAACAACTTTGGGATGTGGCAATGTGAGGTCAAAGATGTGTTGGCTCAACAAGATCTACTTGCCGCTTTGGGAGAGAAGCCGGAAGCTATGTCGAAGCAGGAATGGGAGAAATTAAATTTGTGGGCTTGCTCTTCAATTCGGTTGTGCCTTGCAAAAACTCAGGAGTATTTTGTGATGCGGGAGACATTAGCAAGTGTGTTGTGGCAAAAATTGGAAGACAAGTATATGACGAAGAGTGCAGAGAACCGGCTACACTTGAAGAAAAAGCTCTACCGCTTCCAATACAAAGAAGGTACAAAAATGATTAGACACCTTGATGCTTTTAATAAGTTGATTGCCGACTTGTTAAATTTAGATGAGGATATTAAGGATGAAGATAAGGCCTTAATATTGTTGAATTCCTTGCCGGACTCTTATGAGCATTTTGTTACCACTATTATGCATGGTAAAGAAACTGTGAAATTTGAAGATGTGTCAAATGCCTTGATGAATTATGAAATGAGGCATAGAGATAAAAATCATGATAGTACCTCAGAAGCTTTATTTGTTAGAGGTAGATCATCGGAGAGAAGATCATCTTCTAGTAGGAAAAAATCACAGTCGCAACCTAGAGGAAACTCTAAAGGTAGAAAACCTTTGGAAAGGGATGAATGTGCCTTTTGTCGTAATAAGGGCCATTGGAAGAAAGATTGTCCTAAATTGAAGACCAAAGGTAAAGGAAGTTCTGAAGCTAATGTTGCTGAAGTTGAAACAGATTTTTCTGATTTTGCTTTAACCACTTCCTCATCATTTGATTGTGCTACTAAGTGGGTGTTGGATACGGGTTGTACTCATCATATGACTCCTCACAAGGATTGGTTTTCAAGCTTGAAAGAGTTTGATGGCGGTGTTGTGTTCATAGGAGATGACAATCCTTGCACAACAAAAGGGATTGGTACAGTTCGTTTGAAGTTGCATGATGGCATGGTTAAAGAGTTGACAGGTGTTCGGTATGTACCGAATTTGAAGAAAAATCTTATTTCTTTGGGAACTTTGGAAGCCAAGGGCTTCAAGTTTCATTCAGATGGGCAGACATTGAAGGTGACTTATGGTGCACTTGTTGTGATGAAAGCTCCTCGATGTGGCCATTTGTATTTATTGCAAGGAAGCACTGTGACAGGTGAAGCATCTGTAGTCTCAGAAAATATGGGCACATCCGATTCTGACACTACTAGATTATGGCATATGAGATTAGGTCATGCCGGTGAGAAAGCTCTACAAGGGCTTGTGAAACAAGGTCTTCTAAAAGGTGCCACGACTTATAAGCTTGATTTCTGTGAGCATTGTGTCTTGGGGAAGCAAACTAGAGTGAAGTTTGGTACTGCTGTACATCAGACGAAGGGCATTCTTGATTATGTGCATTCGGATGTTTGGGGTCCTACAAAGACTCCCTCTTTGAGTGGTAGACATTGGTTCGTGACCTTTGTTGATGATTATTCAAGAAGGTCTTGGGTCTACACTATGAAGCACAAGAGTGAGGTGCTGAGCATTTTCTTGGGTTGGAAGAAAATGGTTGAGAACCAGACTGGGAGAAAGATTAAGATTTTGAGATCGGATAATGGTGGTGAATACACATCCGACCCTTTCTTTAAAGTTTGCAAAGAGGAAGGGATTGTGAGACATTTTAGTGTCCGGGGAACTCCACAACAAAATGAAGTTGCAGAAAGATTGAATCGAACCTTGCTTGAGAAGGTTAGATGCATGTTGTCTCAGTCGGGTTTGAGCAAGTCGTTTTGGGCAGAGGCAGTTACTTATGCATGTCACATCATCAACCGATTACCCTCAGCTGCTGTTCAGGGTAAGACGCCAATGGAGGTATGGACTGGAAAACCTTCTACTGATTATGATTATATTCGTATTTTTGGTTCACCTGCTTATTTTCATGTAACTGAAAATAAACTTGATCCTAGAGCCAAAAATGCTATCTTTCTTGGTTTTAGTAGGTGGTGTCAAAGGTTACAGGTTATGGTGCCCAGAGATGAAGAAACTTGTAATCAGCAGAGATGTGACATTTGATGAAGAAAATATGTTCAGAGACTCTGAAAAGAATGCGAAAGATGTCCAACAGGTGGAGCTTGAGAAAGTTGCCTCTAGTACTTCAAATCCTATTTCCGCTGATGTCGAAGCCACTACAAGTGAAGAAGTGGGAGACCATGAGGATGTTGAAGAAGTTGAACTTGAAGATTCTATTCAAGTTGAAGAGCAAGTTTCACCTCAAGAGTCTATTGCTAAGAACAGAGGAAAAAGACAAATTACCAAGCCAGCTCGGTATAGTGACTATGTTGCTTTTGCTCTTCCTATTATCACTGATGAGATTCCATCCAATTTTGAGGAAGCCATTGAGAGTGAAGAAAATGAGAAGTGGTGCAATGCCATGGGTGATGAGATGAATTCTCTCTTGAAGAACAAGACTTGGGAGTTAGCTAAATTGCCTAAGGGTAAGAAAGCTATTGGTTGTAAATGGGTGTATGTCAAGAAGGAAGATGTTGCTGAGAAAAGCAATGTCAGATTCAAAGCAAGATTGTTTGCTAAAGGGTATGCACAAAAGGAGGGCATTGACTACAATGAAATCTTTTCTCCAGTTGTGAAGCACTCCTCAATTCGCATTATGTTAGCTCTTGTTGCACAATATGATCTTGAACTTGTGCAACTTGATGTGAAGACGGCTTTCCTACATGGTGATTTGAATGAAGAGATTTATATGTGTCAACCGGATGGGTATAAAGTGAAAGGGAAAGAAAATTTGTTTTGCAAGTTGAAGAAATCACTTTATGGCTTGAAGCAATCTCCAAGACAATGGTATTTGAGGTTTGATAAATTTATGAGAGGCCAAAATTATTCTAGAAGTCAATATGATCATTGTGTGTACTTCAAGAAGTTGCAAGATGGGTCTTTCATTTATTTGTTGATATATGTTGATGATATGTTGATTGCATCAAAGAATGTCGAAGAGATTGCGAAATTGAAGATGCAAATGAAAAATGAGTTCGAGATGAAGGATCTTGGTGAAGCAAAGAAGATCCTTGGCATGGAGATCACTAGAGACAGAGAGAAGGGTTTGGTTTGTTTGAATCAAAGACAATACCTTGAGAAGTTGATTCGAAAGTTTGGAGTTCATGATTCAACCAAACCGGTTAGTACCCCTTTGGCTCCTCATTTTAAATTGAGTTCTCTACAATGTCCTAAAGCTGATAAGGAAAAGCTGCAAATGAAAAATATACCATATGCAAATTTGGTTGGTAGTTTGATGTATGCAATGGTATGCTCTAGACCGGATATTGCTCATGCAGTTGGCATGGTGAGTCGATATATGCATAATCCTGGAAAAGAGCACTGGCAAGCAGCTAAGTGGATATTGAGGTATCTCCATGGTACTCAAGATGTTGGTTTATGCTTTGAGAGGAATGACTCTGGTATTGGTCATTTTGCAGTTGGTTATGTTGATTCAGATTATGCAGGTGATCTGGATGGAAGGAAGTCTACTACAGGCTATGTGTTTACTATGGCTAAAGGGCCAGTTTGTTGGAGGTCCATTTTGCAGTCGTCTGTTGCCTTGTATACTACAGAGGCTGAATATATGGCAGTTGCTGAAGCTATAAAGGAGGCCATTTGGATACATGGACTGATTAGAGATTTGGGGGTTGATCAGAAGCAGGTGGAGGTGCATTGTGATAGTCAGAGTGCCATTTATTTGGCTAAGTATCAGGTTCATCATGCGAGGACCAAGCACATAGATGTGCGTTATCACTTTGTTCGTGAAGTTGTTGGTGAAGGAGAAATCATTCTCCAGAAGATTCCAACTAAAGACAACCCCGCTGATATGTTGACTAAGGTTGTTGGTGTAGCCAAGTTTATTCATTGCTTGAACTTGGCTCACGTTTTGCCTATATAAAGAAGGCGATGAGCAGTAGGAGTTTTGGAGCAATTGGCTCGGTACGAGTTGTTCTCTTGCTAGTGTTTAGGAGTGATGTTGTGTATCAATTGTGTTGGTTGGCTTGTCATGGTGTTTTTCGGAATTTGGCCAAGGTGGAGATTGTTGGATAGTGGCCAACTTGGCTATGCTTTCGGCTAGACAACAACTTGCAAATGCTTTTGGCTATAAAAAATTATAAAGAAAGAAAGGGAGAAACACCTTTCCTTGTTTTGGGGAGAAAAAAAGGGAAAAGCAACAACACCTTTTATTATTGTGTTTGTTCTCTTCACCAACCGTGAGTTTTGGCTCCTTCATAATGGAGGGTTTGGTTGCTTTCTTCCATTTGGTTGTGTGGTAGAGAGAGAGAAGAGAGCTGCTGCCCTTTTGTTTTCAGAGGAGAAAACTAGAGAGAAAAAATCAGAGAGTTGCAGTCTTGCAGAGAGCCCAAAAAGAAGAACAAGTTGCTGCTTCATTTGGTTAGTAATCATCCACCAAAGTAGTTGTTGTTGTAATAGCTTTGAGCTATATGTATAGAGAAGAAATTATTCATTATATTTCTTTCTCTATTTGTTTCTTTGGTGTGTGAGAGCTATTGGGTGTATTGGGCTTTTGGGTTGTGAGATTGCCAACACTTTGTAAACTCCCATTTGGTTGATAGTGGATTATTGGGTGAGCTCCTACTGCTCCGAGGACGTACTCCAGTTACACTGACTGTGGAGGAACCTCGATAAAATCTTTGTGTCTTTTATATTTTGTTCTTGCATTTTCATTTGATAAATTTCCTGTGGGCTAGCTTGAGTTGGTTCCATAAAGGTTGGTGTTATCCTAGCACAACAATCGAAGCATGGACTCACAAAGTGGTCCTCCTCATCCTATAATATATAGATATTTGAGGAGAGGATCCAAAATCATTAACCAGCTGCTGCATGGAAAGTTTCTTCTTCGAATATTTGCTGCAAATGGCTGGCAGTTTGGTGCCCTATCATTCCCAGATGAACTTGCTTCCAAACAAATGGGTTTATAAAATAAAGCGTCGTGCAGATGTTTCCATAGAACGTCATAAGGCAAGGTTAGTAGCCAATGGCTTCAACACTGAGACTTTTAGCCCAGTTGTCAAACATAGTACGATTCGGATGGTTCTCAGTCTTGCCCTTGTCTGGTGGTCTAAGTGGAGCACTCTTGTTTGATGGTCTAAGTAGAGCATCATGGTCTGGCGGTCTAAGTAGAGTACAATCTTAGAGTTGTCAAATACAATTTCAATTTTTTTTTCTTTTTTATGAGAAGGTATTTATGGAAAACTGACCAACCTCAAATTTCAAAATGAAATTGTAATTCAAGAAGAAAAGTTATTCTAATAAAAAAATAGTGGCTTATTGATTTCAATTCAACCCTTTATTCTGGGGGATACAAAAATAGGAACCAGGATCCTCGCCGGATCCATTCTCTAGGGATCCTAAGGATTACGCAATCGTGTCCGTTCATCGTATATCGTGCGGTTATAAATCATTTAAAATTTAAAATTTAAAATTCAAATATAAATAGTACATAATGAAAACTGGTCGCACGATATACAATAAACAGACACGATTGCATGGTCCCTAGGATCCCTAGGGAATGGATCCGGCGAGGATCCTGGTTCCAAAAATAGTGGTCCCAATCCAACTGCCGAGTTCTCATTTGGTCAGTTTTCTCAGAGGATTAGAATAACTTTTCTTCTGGAGGTCTAAGTAGATCATAATAACTTTTAATTAGAGTACAATCTCGGCAGCCTCAAATTTCAATGAAACTGACCAACCTTCAAGTTGGATTGGAACGCAAGCAATGCAGACAGACCACCGCAAATAGGCTTTGTCAAAGCAGATAGACAGCGCTGAATATTGAATTCGAGCTTGAAATTTAGACTCAACATTCAACCTACCCAACGACTGGTAGAAAGCTAAAAAGCCACCCCCATATTTCAATGAGGATATTAATTAAATTAATCAATGCTGATTAAGTGAAATGCTAATCAATTATACAAGAAATACAAGACAAACTAGACTTGTACCGAAAAATCAACACTATTTTAATCAAGATCAGCTGACCCGGTAAACAAAACAAAAAGGAGTAATATTCATTGGTGCACGTAGCCTGCTGTCTTTGTCCAAACCGGCAAACATGATCCATGGTGGCATCTCCAATTTCCCGTGGCAACTCTAACGGTAAATAGTTACATGCCTGCCATGACGAGTTACGTAATGAGAGATGAAGAATGATAGAGTGCGCGAGTGGTGAAAAAGCAAGATGGTAAAAAGTAAAAACGAAAATAAAAATATGATCAAAAGGGGGCCAGAATTATTTTCAGCCACCGTCTATATATGTTGTTGGTTTAGCTTACTGACAGCAATTAGTGAAGAAATAGAATAATTTGGTCCCCGTAGCGATCTTGTAATTTGATCCAATTTTTCTGAAGTAATAGTTTGTTTACTGGCCGGAATATTCGAATTCAGAGCCACTGTCACAGGAAAGTACTGAAACATCAATACTATTTGAATCAAGATCAGCAGACCCGTATGGGCTGCCTTTCAGAAACGAGAAAGCATCATTAATTTCGGAAACTGATATCCTTTGATAATCGTAGGCACAGTCAGCAGGACCACCAAGAGGAGTGCTAGTTGTAGTCAACTCCTTTTCGGCATCTGCTCTCTCCTGCAGCTCCACAGCACGCTCAAGTTCCACCTCCACTTCACCCATCGTTGGCCGTAGGGCTCCCGTAGTGCGGACACATCTTTGGATGATGTCCAAATATTTTATCAAACAATCCGGAGCTATTGTTCCCATGAGAGATGGATCCAGAATATCAGCTGGGAGAGTCATACGTATTCCTGGTATCTCTTTCGAATGTTTGGCAGACAATATTTCGAATAACACCACTCCGAATGAGAAGACGTCAGATTTCTCTGTAAACTGGCCGGACAAAGCATACTCTGGATCAACATACCCGAATGTACCTAACACCGCATAATTGGAGTTCAATCTGATTAATGCATTTGACAAAGTAGGAGGACCCATCTTGGACAACCCGAAGTCAGAAAGCTTGGGCACCAAGTTTTGGTCCAATAGAACGTTGGAGCATTTCACGTCTCGATGGATGACAGCATGCTTAACCCCTGCGTGGAGGTAGTGTATTGAACGCGCCACCCCAATACAAATTTTCAGCCTTTGCTTCCAAGTCAAGGGAAGGGGATCTTTATGTTTAAAACTGGAAGTATCAAAGATGTAATCGAAGAGGGAACCGTTGGGCATGTAGTCGTATACAATGATACACTCTCCATTTTCTTGGCAGAATCCGATGAGAGAGATGAGGTTGGGATGGCGGAGCTGGCATAGTAGCTGTACCTCCGCCCTGAACTCACGCACTCCCTGTTTTGAATCTCTGGAAAAGCGCTTGATTGCAACGACGTCTATCCTGTCCTCATCCCCATAGACCTTAATACGCCCTTTGTATACTGAGCCAAAGCCACCACTACCAATACATAAGGTTTGGTCGAAACATTGAGTTGCTGCACTGATCTCGGCATACGTAAAACGACGGCATAGTTCTTCTGGAAACGCCCAATCTTTTTGTTTCTTCTTCCGAAGAGAGAAGAAATGCGAGACAGACTGCCCCATCACACATCGAAGCATGGACTCACAAAGTGGTCCTCCTCATCCTATAATATATAGATATTTGAGGAGAGGATCCAAAATCATTAACCAGCTGCTGCATGGGAAGTTTCTTCTTCGAATATTTGCTGCAAATGGCCGGCAGTGTCAAGACTCAAAGCCTTCCAGAAGATCAAGACTTTTAACTTAGTAGAACTTAAATCAAATCAGCTGATCTATTAACCATACGACTTTTCCGATCAATCCAACAAATGTGCGCTGTGTCCACACCCCACGATCAAAGAGAACGTCCCGTGTGTTAATTTTTTCATATCAATGCAAGGAAGTTGCCAAATTGGACCATTCCCGTAGTCCAGCTTTATTTATTTTTCCTATTTTTTAAAACTAATGGCCCGTTTGATAACCATTTGAATTTTTTGCTTTCAGGGAAGCGCTGGTGGATAAACTGTGCAAGAAACCCCATCAAGCATCAAAAGTTGATGTCTCTACTAAGAAAACTAAAAGAGAAAAAAATCATTAAGGGACCAACTTTTGGGCGATCAAAGTTTTTAATGCCATAATAAGTAGACGTTAGATGTGAGTTAGGCCACTTGGCTAATTAAGCCAAAGTCAGTGTGCCTGCTGCCCGTCCGCCCCTTTACACCAAGTTCGAATCTCCATTATATTAGAATAGAATATAGTCTAATGTTAGAGAACGAAAGCCCCTGTACTTGCAGTTGCCTCAAACTCAACTCATTCATACGTCTCCAATCATCAAATAATCTCATGCTAATGAAACAGTCATCGAATCATGATCGAGAGACCCAAAACCAAGTTTCGTGGAAACTCACCACAGGTTATGTGGTTCAATGTTCAACCCAACGACTTGTAGGGATAACGCCGAGAAAGTTTACACCCCACTGCCCAAAACCAAAGGACTTTCAAGTTTAATCGCATTCGCAAGAGAGACAAGTTTAAGGGAAATCACTATCCTTGATACATAAACGTTGTTTTGTGCTGTAAAAGGTAAGTACATAGCATGGCAGAGTTTGAAATATCTCTTGTTGTCGAAATGCTTGCGGCCTGCTCGTCGAAAAAGCCAGTTTGTTACACCACGTACGGTCCATTGTGCTTTGCAATTGAAGTTGGGTAAGAATGGCACTGTTCATAGAAAGAACACTTCAATAATTATGTTATTCAAATTTCGTATTGTTTCGTAGATAAAGAGAAGAGTTTATCTTTCGATCTCTTATATCTATTGTCAAGTGCACGATCAAAAATGGAAACAGCGTGGCCTAAGAGTATTAGCACGTGAAATTTCAAGATAGGTGTAGCAGAAACCGACTCTAAAGAATAAGTTTTTGGGTGGTCCTCGAGCAGGAAGTGTCGAGGTAAATGGAACAGTGGGACAATACGAGCAGACACTCAAGCTTAAACTCACATGTTTTGCAGCTGTCAAGTGGCCACAAGAGAATGAACCTTGTTAGTTTTCTGTTATGTTATTTTTCCACTTAGTTTTTCGTTACAATTATGGTGAGGATGTTCTAGTTTCTCGTTACAATTACGGTGAGAATGTTCCTTTGATAGTAAATTGGGCGTAAGCATTGTCAAATTCCACTTAAAACATTATGCAAGGCTGAGACTTAAATTCAAGGAATGAGATTTATGAGTTTTGTTTACCTTCAGCTTCCTCCGACGGCCTTAGAGTAGACCAAGTTCTTGGGTTAGCAGTTAAAAATTCGGTTTCGTTAGAAGGCAAGGGTGACAAGTCTAGATTGATAGTTTCTTGTGTTCCTCCTTGGATTGATTTAACCCAGTTTCCTTTCTTTCAAGAGTGTTACTTCATCATAAACATATCTCATGTAAAATACTCATCTTCGAAATCTGGAGTTCGCATACCACACTTAGTCATATGAGCTAGAGCAACGTGTTCATTGCTCGACATACAAGTTCGAATCTCTTCCCCTCAATTTTTTTTTCTTTTGAACAAATGATATTATCTACATTAAGGGGGGAGGTGAGCTTAGCCTCACAATGGGTTAGCAAAGATGTGGTTCAAATTCATCTTTGACAAGAATCGAACCTCTTACTTACAAGTGAAGAAGAATACCACTAGATCGTAATATTAAGTGACATTATTATAATGGAGCAAAAGAAAAAAAAAAAGGGCTTGGTCTTGGTTTAGGCCCATAACCCATATTAATTGCATAAAAACTTTTGGGGTTCAAATTGAAAACCAGCTTTCGCACCAATTTCCGCCAATCCGGGTAGGCCCGTATCTGCAATTTAATTAATTAAATTACCATTTTATCCCCCACTCCTCGTATTTCCAGATCCCATATGTGAGAGAGCATATGATATGATCACCTGCAAAAACACCAAATCCCAGATCCACCACCACCACGCGCATTCCCCTCCTTCGTCGTAGGGTTTATCCCACTCGCGCCGAGTCGACTCACCCGACTCGCTCATGAACCGGAACCACTATTACAAGAGCAGCAGCAATGCCTCCAACAAAGAGATGGTAATCATGGACGCCCGACCCGGAAAGTTGAACAGCCGATCCAATTCCATATCCGACCCGAACACCAGCCAGAGCCTCGCCTCCATCCTCAACAACCCCAATGCCTCCGACGCCTCCTCCTGGGTCGGCTGGTGGTCATCCTCCGCCTCCGTCGCCCCGCCCGAATTCGCTCCTCTGGTGCCGAAATCGGCCTCGGACTCCGTGACCCGATCCGATTTCCAGCCTTACCTCGCCTCCGTCTCCGATCACTACAACCGCTTCGCGGACATCCTCAACCACGTCAAGAAGGAGAAATCCGACGTCGACTCCATTGGCGGCCAAGGCGAAGCCCTCGTCGCGTGCCTACGGGAAGTCCCGGCGCTCTATTTCAAGGAGGACTTCGCCCTGGAGGACGGCGCCACGTTCCGTTCGGCGTGCCCGTTCACGAACCTCTCCGAGAACCTGGTCCTGCAAGAGAAGCTATCGCATTACTTGGACGTGGTGGAGCTTCACTTGGTGAAGGAGATCTCGCTGCGTTCCAACTCCTTCTTTGAGGCCCAGGGGCAGTTGCAGGACTTGAACGTCAAGATCGTCGAGGGATGCAGTCGGATTCGAGAGCTCAAGGAGACAATTTTGCTCTTGGATGTCGATTTGGTCGAGTGCGCAAGGCAGATTCATGATCTGAATGAAACCAGGAGCAATTTGTTGGCTCTGCAGCAGAAATTGAGGCTCATTTTATACGTCAATCAAGCTCTTTCGGCACTTAAACTCGTATGCATTGCGCTTCAATATCTTTCTTTCGGTTTTAATCATTTCGGGTTTGTAGTGTTTTGAATTGTGCATGTATTGATAGTTATTAGCTAGTAGCTATTTGGTCTAGAATTCACTTCATCAAGAATCGCCAATTTGCGATGTTGGATTTGATCTTTTTTCTTAGTAGTTTGACTTCCTTCGAGAATCGGTAAGTATAAAACTCGATGACCATTTACATTTCTTGCAAATACTAGCAAGACGCAATTTGAAGCACTGATATGTGATTCGTGATGTTTCCGATAGCTCTACTCGGATTCAATGATAGGCTTTGAATTTGTTGCACAATTACTCAAAATTGTAGTTGCAATTATATCCCCAACCTGTTGACGGATTATGGAAATTAAACTCTTGTTGTGCACCTAACTTTCTGATGATTAGTTGCTTGTTTTTCGTCCCTGTCTTTAAGAAATGCTCGTGATTTTCAATTGAGAAGTTGGGTGAAAATGTATATGGTCATTTTTATAAGTAGCAAGTTTCTTAATATAAGTTGATTTACTTTTTCTGTCATACAGCTTGTTGCCTCTGCAGATTGTGCTGGAGCCTTGGATGTCACAGATGATTTACAGCATTTGCTGGTATGTTTTTATTTATGTTTTGTTTGATCTGCTCCCAAAAACTAGTGTACTAAAACAAGGAACCGTGTACTGGACTACAATTTATGTCTAACTTATTGATGTCAATGTGTTTAATAGGATGGGGATGAGCTTACTGGTCTACATTGCTTTCATCACCTCCGGGATCGTGTAGCAGCGTCAATTGAATCGATAAATAGGTGTGATTTCCTGTTGTAGTGGCACTATTATTAAGCAAATGAGTGACACCATTTGAGTTGCTTATGATTTTTTAAATATATGCTGGTCAATATTATTGGGACGGGCGTTGGCAGCTTTTAATTTCTTTCTTCTGAGAATCTGAAATAGAGATGCCTTTCTTCATCCTGCTTGGCTTATATTGACCAGAATATTGGAATAAACATTTTCTGTCTTTCAAATGGAATAAAATTATACGAGGCATGTTTATAGTAACTTATTAAATTTATTCTTGTAGCATTCTTTCTGCAGAGTTTATGCATGCTTCAATACATGATGCTGGAGATACAGATGTTATAATTATATCCAGAGTGAAAGCAAGGGCATCTAGTATCATGAATGGAGAAGGAGAAGATGGTGAAGTAAGCTCAAGTCTTTTTCTTAAATTGCATAATATTTCAAGTCTATTCTCTCCCGTGAGGAGCTGCTCTCAACTGATTGAAAAAAGTAGATAATTAAGTTTAATAGCCATTGCATTTCTTTTACTTCCGAATCAGCTGAAATGCTTACAGATAAATACACTATTGTAGGAAGTAACTATTTCTTTGCAGAAATTATGTGGCACCATATTTTTTCGATAGTATGCTTTGAAATCTGATTTTACAACAACAGTATTTGAAGGTGGTGCAAAAACCAGTGCCCTGCCATAAGCCATGTCGCAAGTTTTGCGGAACCTGCCTGAAATCATTTAATTTAATTTTGACCATTGACTTCAGCTATAAAGACATTGTAGGATCTTTGATTGACTTAACTGTTTTTATACACCCAGTGCCTTGTCGAAACTTCATGGTTTCTTCTTTGTATATGTTATATGCTGTAACTGCATTTTTCAGTTGATATCCTTTATCGTGATTTTCAGAAGTCTGGGCATGATTCTATATGTGAACTGGTCACTGTTATTTTTGTATCAGCAGATTAAGTTGGATGATGAAGAAACCTCCAATTTTCAAGATCGTCTTCTTCCTGTCATCATTGGATTGCTTAGAACAGTGAGTAGTTATCGTTTTGTCAAGCAAACATGTTTTCAACCATTTTTTTTTTTATTTTTTTTATTTCGTTGGGATGGAATTTATTTCTTTCTGTGATCAATGAGTACCTTTAGTGATCTTTTAAGTAAAGTTGGTATCCTTTTACTTTCAGGCCAAGCTCCCTTCTGTATTGAGGTTATATCGTGACCAACTTACAGCTGACATGAAGACTGCTATTAAAAATGCGGTTGCAGAGCTGCTTCCCATTCTTGTTTCACGACCACTGGAGTCAGATTTTACACCTGGAGAGCGAGTTGATGCAGATGGTGAGAAATTTGTGACATTGTTTGTCATCTATGCCTATGAAGAATTACACGTAATATAGAAGAAAAATAGATTGTATAATTCTCAATTTTTATGTTTACATTCTGTCTTGTTCTTTTCTTTTTGTGCCGTGTTTTTTACACACAAATTTGTCTTTGATCTTTTAAACATGGTTTTTTAGGTTTTGGCGCATCACTTGCGAGCAAGTTGAGGAGCCTGTCATCTGAGAGCTTTGTTCAACTTTTAAGTGCTATTTTTCTAATTGTAAGGGTATGTGTTCTAGACTATTCTTGTTTTGTTTCCTAGGCATTGTATTGCTGAAAAATAAGATGCTCTATAATTGCTTTGTTGAATTCCCAGTATACTCACTGTTTATTTTCTTCAAGTTTAGTGTATATATTAAATTTGATATTTCTAATGGTTGACATTTATTGGGCTTAGCTTGAGGATAGATTTGGCTTGGGGTTGTCTGTGATGCATAGTCAATTATATATCTTGTTTCTTGCAAGTTGTGACTACTTCACTAATATGAACCAACTAATATCGCTTGTCATAATTTTCAATCACTTGATAGCTGGTTGAACCAATTACAGATATTCTCTAACCCTAATACGTGTAAAGAAATCATAGATGGGTCTCCTCCTTCATTTTGGTCAATTCTGTTGCTTTAATATTTGAGTCTATCAGTCAAATTCATTTGGGAGCATTGGGGTAAGGGATGAACAGTTTTAAGGGCAGCAATTCTTATAAAAGAACAGGTACTGGTCGCATAAACTCACCATACATACATGTTCTGTTTTTAGATTGCTCGATAAGTTATTATCAGATGGCATATCTGCTGTATTTCATTCATTTTTTCGTGTGAGCTTCATCTAAGTTCTTGTCAATTTTCTTTAAGCATCAACCACTATTTGAGTGTGATGTCATATGATTTATTTTAGTGAATGCAGGCACATCTAGTGCGGGCTGCTGAAGTGAAGAAGGCCATTGAATGGATTATGTGCAACCTTGATGGTCACTATGCAGCCGATTCAGTTGCTGCAGCGATTGCAGTTGGTGCTGCGGCAGCCGAAACAGCTCAAGAGAGTGATGGTCAAGGCGGCTTGCTTATGCCATATTCACCCCATAGGGTTGCTACAAAGGCACTTTCAATTCAAGGGAAGGCTAATGATGCAGCAAGTCCTTCAAACATCTCTAAGAATTTTAGGTGGGCTCTTGTCTCTTGATTATGTTACTCTGATGTCCAAAATTTTCACCTTTGTTGAAACCTTATGCATCTTTGAATTTTAAATTTTGTTTTGTGTTCATCTTGCCATGTAAAATAAATTTTGCCCTTAGGAAGGTCTAAAATTCTTTGGTTAATTTTAGGGTTTAGTTTTGATATGTCCAAATATTGGAGTGCTTCCAAATGTATGCAGTCTGAAACAATGTGATTCTAAACAGAGCTGATGTGTTACGAGAAAACACAGAAGCTGTTGTTGCAGCATGTGATGCTGCTCATGGAAGATGGGCAAAGCTACTCGGTGTTCGTGCTCTTCTTCATCCAAAGTTGAGATTGCAGGAGTTTTTGAGCATATATAACATCACCCAAGACTTTATAACAGCTACAGAGAAGGTATGCGTATTTAATTCTTTTATCTGTCCCCTTTCTTTTGTTGTCCTTTCTTTGATCCTTTAGTTTTATGATCAACCATGTTATGTCTCTGGTGCCATTTTGTGCCACTGCCAACCTAAACAGATAGGGGGAAGGCCAGGATTTAGCATCAGGGGAACAATACAGTCACAGGCCAAAGCCTTCATGGATTTTCAGCATGAATCTCGAGTTAGTTTCCGATAGTATATGCTTATACTTTACTTTCTGCTTATCTTGTTTGTTGCTATGAACTAATTGTTTTTTTTATTTTTTGGTTGTTGTAGATGGCAAAAATTAAGGCAGTTCTTGACCAAGAAACTTGGGTGGAAGTGGATGTTCCTAATGAATTTCAGATCATTGTCACTTCACTATTTAGTTCTGAATCATTGGTTTCCGAGAACCTGGATGCTGTCCAAGATAATACAGAAACAAGTTACAATGAGGTGGCCACAATCAGTAATAGTTCACGTGCAGCAGAAACGGGATCATCAGTTGCTGAACAGCAATCTAAAGGGGTGGAGTCTAGTGAAACATCTGCGGATGTTACTGCAAGGGAGACACCAAATTCTGATGGAACTGAGAAAAATAAGGCTGATGTTGCTAATTCTGTTGCTCAAAATAACCATAGCAATAAGGAGCGAGGAAAATCAACCTCTCAAAGCATTTTCTACAAGGGTGTTGGTTTTCACATGGTAAACTGGTCAGTTGCCTTGTTTTTCATATTTCTTTTTGTCTATCTTTTTGTTTCCCCCATTTATTCTTTATTTTTTTTTACACCAATCCTGATTTGCAATTTGGAGTTTTGGTTTGTACTCTTCTTTCCTCCATCAAGGAACTTACTATTAATTTTTTTATAAGAATTTTTCGGTATAAGCCTGTAGTTACATTTTCTCCTTGTCCTTGGTTTTTTTCCTCCAGTGGCTTGATATTGATGAAGATGTTGTCAGAGTACATTGATATGAACAACTTTTTTCCAACACTGTCCTCAGAAGTTGTTCATCGTATTGTAGAAATTTTAAAATTTTTCAATACAAGAACGTGTCAACTTGTTCTTGGTGCTGGTGCCATGCAGGTACTAATTTCTCTCTATGATAGATGATATTGTTGCAAATATTTAGGAATTTTCACTCAGAAACCCCAAAAGGGTTATGCAACTGAGGTGATCAAATAGCTACTGTTCTTCAATGTACATGTATCAAAAACATGTTACACGGATTTTATATGCAACTTTCTTTCTTGAGCCCAGAAATGCTTTAAGTGATTGTTGAAAACGCTGTTCAAAGTTTGTGGTCACTTTATCGTTATCGTGTTATATCTACTGACTATGCTCCCCGGGGCCATTCTTGCGGCTTTTTGATGGATCACATTTGATAATGCAGGTATCCGGTTTAAAGTCTATTACTTCTAAACACTTGGCCTTGGCAAGTCAAGTCATCAGTTTTACGTATGCTATTATTCCTGGTAGGTGATTACAACTTTATTTTGAAAAATTGTTGGCATTGCTGTGAATGTATATATGTATGTATTTGTAGAATTCTACTTTGATCATCGAGTAATGACTTTATTCATTCCGTTTCTGCAAGAAATCAGGCAAATTCTTTTTCAAAAAGTGCCAGAGACAAGAAAGGCATTGCTGCTACCAGAAATTGATCGAGTAGCTCAGGTTTGTCTTCTACTTTTATTTTAATTATATATGTAATTTACATGTTTGTCAAGTTTGTTAACCTTTCAGAATGCACCTGTAATCTCGAATTCTAAAATCAGATTCTTTGAGCCCATATTTACTTTAGCCAAGTTTTTTGCACGTATTCCAGAAACCATTCTGATGTTTCTTCATTCAATTTAAAACAGGATTATAAGGTTCACAGAGATGAAATACACACCAAGCTAGTTCAGATCATGAGAGAAAGGTTATTGGTTCATCTACGCGGGTTGCCCCAAATTGTAGAGAGCTGGAATAGATCTGAAGAGGCTGATCCACAGCCCAGCCAGTTTGCTCGATCCCTTACCAAGGTATTCTTATTATTATTTTAATTTTAATAGAAACAAGCGGTTATTATATCTGTTTATCTAACACCCCTCCGGAAATTTCTTTATCTTAATTGATCTTTATGGGCCTCACCCAACTGATTTGCAGGAAGTCGGATACTTACAACGTGTTTTAACTCGAACTTTACATGAGGTCGATGTCCAAGCGATTTTCAGGTAAGGCTCATATCACATGGAATTTGCTTGGAAACTTGGTCAAAGCTCAAAGGATCTTGTTTCCCACCCCGCCGCCCGCCCCCCCCACATTTAGTTGATGTGCTTTGGTTGATGAGAGGGGCAGTTAATGATTACTGTGGTTTCGTAATTTTTAGGCAAGTAATTTTGGTCTTCCATTCACAAATATCAGAAGCATTTTCACGGTTAGAGATCAGCACACCACAAGCCAAGGACAGGTACTACCATTTCAGTTTCCCCCCCTTGTGTGCATACAAATTGTTAGAACTCCTTAATGAAACACAACTTTTCACTTTGTCTACCAGGCTGCGCCGGGATGTCAAACACATTCTTGGCTGCATTCGATCTCTGCCTTCGGATAAAATGAGCGAATCTAGTATTCCAAACTGGGGTCAGCTAGATGAATTTTTGGTGCAGAGATTTGGCGAGGAAGCCAGTTAAATGTTGTTGTAAAGTAGCGAGTCACTTGCTTCGTTGGAGATGGCTAATCAAATTTTGGGGATGTCAGAACCGATTTCGGTGGCCAATTCATTTCCCTTGTACAATTTTATTGAGGTAACCTGAGTGTAAGCTTTACGGCCCTCTCTCCCTCCCTCTCTAAGCACACACTCACCGTCTATGTTTTTCTTTTAGCTTACCGGGCGTCTTTATTTTTCAGGTTTCCCATTTTTTCTGAGATGTATAAAGTCAGTGTACTCAGATCCAAATATTTCAAGAAGGTTGTTGAAATTGAAACCAGAATGTTTTTTCTGTAGCAGTCATACTTGAATTACCATTTGTATTTACTAGGACGACTCAAATCAATGTTTTGCTCCCCTGATTGTAATTTTGAGTTAAAAGATGACGACGATTAATTTTTTTCTTCTCTGTTTTTTTTTTTTTTGCTTAGTGAAGGGACAACGAGCGGTATCGCTTTTGAATTCTCGACTTCCGTCGCCGGAATCGCATCTAACTGTATCAGTAGTTGAGTCATTTGCCTGAATGCCTTTCTTAAGAAATGGTAAATAAGAGCTTATTTTTCATGTACCATTTGTATTCACCAGCTGAAGCTAGTCATTCTTCGTGTTGGGCTTTTTATGTTTGGGTTGTTATTGGGCTTCCTAGTCTTTACTATCTTTGGGCTTTACCGAAAATTATTTTTGAACCCAATATAAAAATGTTGGATCATACCCCAAAAAAAGAGTCGATGGGTTTTTTTGAAGCTCCCTCCTTTAATGTCGCTTGCGAGAAAAATTAAGATTTTTAAATTAATTTTGAAAAGCTTACGGAAAGGGTCATAGAAATAAAGTTTTGACTTATGGCAAATATTTATTCTATTTTCTATAAAGCCGTTGTCATGATGTTGATCCCGCTTCTGCGACTACGGCATTTGCGTAGCTCTGAATGCGTGCGTTGGAGCTCGCCGCTCAATGTCCTGGTCGATGGTTACATTAACTATTAAAAAATCATTGAAATTGATTTTGGTTTTTATCTTAGTCGTTGTCAATGAAACTCACGCATTAAAGTTAAATTAAAGATGTTTGACTTCAACTTTGTTTGCGGTAAAAAAGTCAGTTAGAAAGAAAGAGTCGAATGAGCTATCTATCACGTGTCATGCATGACATCACTCTTAACAAAAACCTTAGATGTTCTCTTAGTCCTAGTTAACTTATTTGTAGCGGTGTATTCAATTGAGATTTTGATGAATTTTGATTCTTTTAATGAATCTATGGGTATTCAATCAATATTTTAAGTGATTATCTGAAATTCAATGTGTATTCAATCAGAATTTTACGATAGTTTATTAATATCCTTAAAAATTTGGGTGTACTCAATTAGAATTTTAAAGAAATTTATAACATTTCAGGTATATTTAATTAGACCCTAAACCCTTTATAACATTCTAGATGTATTCAAATTAGAATTTGAATTTAAAGAATTTGAAAAAGTTGAAGAATTAAAGGGAATTAGAGAGATTTTGTAGTGTATTTTAAGTATTCACAAGTCTCACATCTCTTCATGAGATTTCAAGGGAATTGAATCAAAATTTTAGATAAAATCTCTACAAATCAATTAAATTCTATAAAAATTTATGAATTTATAAATTCATTAAAATATCTCATATTCAAATTCATAGTTGAATACTATGTAGTTGGCCTTTCTCCGCCTGCAAATATGAGAAGTTTCTTACACAAAACAGAACACGCGCAACAAAAGACACGGCATACACAACATAATGAGCTACGGCAGCGGCGGATATCAACAAGAGAAGCAAAAGAAGGCAGTCGACGCCGGTACGTCAGGAGAAGAAGGAATCACTTGCGGTGGCTGCGGGATGGCAAAATCGATGGTACTCGATGACGATCATCCTCATGTTCACATGGATCTCCAGGCGTTGCCCGAAGGATGCATAGCTAACGTCGTCTCCCTAACGACGCCTCCAGACGCGTGCCGGTTTTCGGCGGTGTCTAGGAGTTTCATGTCGGCCGCCAAATCCGACGCCGTTTGGGACAAGTTCCTTCCCCATGATATCCCCTCCATACTCCCTCACTTCTCCTCCAAGAAGGAGCTTTACCTCACTCTCTGCGAAAACCCTGTCCTCCTTGACGATGGCAAAATGGTAACTTTACATTATCTCGTGCCGTAATATTCATTTTATTTTTTATTTTATTTTTATTAAAATTCAAAATTTTCAAATCTTTTTTATTATTTTATTTTATTTTTTTGGGTATGTATGACCTCAATCATCGGATTTAGGTACACGCAAATTTTCTCACAATACGCACACACCGTCTATTTCTGATATTTAAATTGAATAAATTAATCAAAACAAATCCGAGCGATGGAAATACATGAGTGCGTAGAAATCATATACCTTAATGGATGATGAGTTACCACCGGTGTGGATGTTCTTGCCTTCTTATGATCTATGTATGCAGATGTTTTTTCTGGACAAATGGAGTGGGAAAAAATGTTACATGATCTCGGCAAGGGACCTTATGATTGCTTGGGGTGGTAATCCTGACTACTGGGGATGGAATTCTGTTGGCGACTCCAGGTCTGTGAAATTCTTCATTCGTTGTACGTTTTGTTGGTTTGTTTACTGATTAAGCTAAGTGCTACACTTTGAAAATATTAAGCAAGCGTTTACGGTTGGATTGGTTGTAGTGTTATATCTATAGATTGAAATATGTGTGTATATGTATGTATGTAATTAGGCAACTGATTGGTATGTAAAATTATGTGGAACAGATTTGAGGAGGTGGCTGAGCTTAGGTTTGTTTGGTGGCTTGAAATCCGTGGCAAAATTGAGACACGGATTCTCTCCCCATCCACCGTCTATCAAGCTTATCTTGTGTTCAAGTTAAGTGCAATGGCGGATGGGTTTGATCATGACGATCCCTTGGACGTCAAGGTAGGACTTCTTGGAGAAGAAGAGGCCGGTAATAAGCGCACTGTGTTTTTGGACCAAGAAGAAGTAGAAAGGCGGAGACAGAAGACCCCCGTCGGAACCAGTGAAACTCAATATCCGAAGAAAAGGACCGATGGCTGGTTGGAGGTGGAGATGGGTGAGTTTTTCTGCCCAGGAGAAGAAGATGGCGCGATAATAGAGATGACTTGTATGGAGGTTAAGAGGATTAAGCGTGGCCTCATTGTTCAGGGGATTGAGGTCAGGCCCAAGAGAATGTAGACAGTTTCTTATGGTGCATTTTCTATCACATGATGTGTCAACAACAGGACGGGTACTAGAACTTATTGTATCGTAACAATATTGGCGAAACAAAGGAACTAGAACTTATTGTTTTATAACATTAACGTGACATCCCAAAACTTAAGATATTATTTTGGTGCATCTATGTATGCATTACTCAAGCTCCAAAGCTACCATTTAGTTTGCTAGTGCAATTGTACCCATGTAGCTAGTTTACATTAGGTTGCAATATGCTTATCTTTAAGCTACCAAACTACTTGGAAATACTAGCTAGGTAGTGTGCTCTTAGACATGATGATAAAGCATGAGAGATCACAAAAGAGCTCCCGCCACTTCTTTCCAAACAATTGCACCAAACGAGATGGCTTCTTCCTCGGAGCTTTTGTAATTGATTGCCAAATAAGTTCATGGAGCACAACAAAATTGATGCAGTCGTGTGTCGTCGCATCATAAATCAAACCAAGGTCAAGTGCTCGATCTGGATTTATTTGAGTAGCCCCCATAGGTAGCGGTGAAGCAAATGTAAAATTGAAACCCGGAACTTGAATTGAACAGCCGGAATTTTCCAACGGGCTAGGTGTGGCCATTAGGGCAGACCTAACAGCAGCTGCACTGCACTCGGGGTGTGAGGTTTCCCAAGATTACTTCAGGACGCGTAACAATTATGCTATCTGCCCCATATCTAAGTGTGCGAAGGGATATGCAAATAAGCCTTGTGAATACAACGAAACTCATCCTAATTAACATTTTGTTCTAGCTACATACATGATCATCAACTCAAACAAGAGAGCTCCAGACTCTATTTTCGATTTTGTTCGATCCAAACAAGTGTGCCATACGAAGCCTTCCCTTTTGCTTCTCATACTTGTGTGCAGAGATCAGTATCTCTGGGGAGACTGTTACCTTAGAACCCTTTGGAGCAGTCACCGGAGCCATGTACTGAGCCGCGCCATCTCCCACACTCGTCACAGTCCTCTGAAATGTTTGAACCCTTGTCTTTGTTTTGTGAGAATGTACAATGCGATGAAAGATGGATAGTTCAGATAGGAAGATGGTTTGGAACAATCATAGGCGTGATCTAGTGATGGATAAGATTGCTTACGCATAAAATTCGTGGAGCATAAGAGATTGACATACTCTTGCGAGGTAGCATCGTATGTTAGGCCCGGCTCAAGTGCTTTATTAGGATCGATGTGACCTGTTCCCATGGTTAATGGTGAAGCAGAGTTGAAATGGTCACCATCAAGAATTCAATTGCAAGTAGTGTCCAATGGATTGACTGTGGTCATCCAAGCAGACCTAATTGCTGTTGCACTCCATCCTGGGTGCGCACCTTTCAGTAGCTCAGCTACACCTGAAGCATGAGGGCAAGCCATGGATGTCCCGGATATCAAATTGTAGTCGCTAGGTAAATTCACAATGAACCCAATTTGAACTGATGCAACCTTGGGAGACCAAGCAGCCAAAACTAATGACCCCGGGGCCATTATATCCGACTTCAAAAGGCCCGGATAACGTTTTGAAGGGCCTGTCGAAGTGTACAAAGCAACAGCGGGTGCAGGCTTTGTCTTGAGCAGTGTTTGTTGGAATTTTATGCTGACAGTAGGGTTCGCACTTTTCCGTGCATAGTCAATCAAAGCTGGCTCATCCCTTGTACTCACTACAACACTAATGTATCCAAATTCGCATATCTAAGGATTACTGGTAATAAAGATAGCTCCAAGAAGCCCCGATTGAATGATGTGATACACTGCCACCATCGCCTGCTTTACTGCACTACTTAATGACAGAAAAGACCTTCACTTGTTACTTCAAACTTGTAAATCTAGACTCTTGAACAAACTTATCTTTATCACTATCACCCAAATTGGAAGAAAATAATCGTAAACTCATGCCCGAGAACACAACTTGATATCTGAACTGAATCATACTACATGAAGAATCATACAGTGCCACAAAACATACTGAAAATCACATGGAAGCATACAAAAAGGAGGATGTTTTTTCCAACCTGTAGCAATCAAGATTCAGTACCAGGCCATGGCCGACCTCAGTCATTCCATTTCAATGGGGGCACGAGCCACTTCAACAATAAAGCCCTGTGATCTCCAGAGACTCAACCCGATGATTCAGTATCGATCTCCAGATGAACGGTCATATACGATTGTGGGTCTCCTCCTCTTATATGTTAACACATAACAAGCAAAGAGGTGGCTTTGGGGTCTCCTCCTCTTATATGTTAACATGGAGCAAGGATTGAGCTTTTTGGGCCTTCTCTTATATGTTAATACAGACTGATTAACCCTGCTCCTTTTCCTGTACTTGAAGTAAAAAGGATCAAGCTTTGAATCGCGCCTTTTGTCCTTCGGCATTGTAACACAGACACATTCATCTTGCTCTTGTTTATTGAGAGCAAAAGACTCCAAGTCAACACCATTGGAGCAGCTCCCTTGTCCTTCCTTCAACTGCCCGTCATCGTCCCCATTCTCCTCTTCGATATCCAGCTTCAAACAACCAACATCCGTGGACGAATCACAAACACACACTCTCAAACTCCGCGAATGCAGTTTCTTAGCAGAGCCATTCATGGCAGCCAACTGCCCATCATCGTCGTCGTCGTCGTCGTCGTCATCATCATCATCATCATCATCATCGAAAGCCGCATCCTTTGAGCCCTCTTCAGCACCAGACACATCACGAATTTTCCTGCCATCCACCACGGCCGAAACCCTATACTTCCCCAATCCCAAACAAGCTCTCCCCTTTCCACTCCTCCGCGCCTTCCGACTCCTCACAACCCCTCTCCACCGCGCAAGCGACTCCGGCAGCCAGCAATCGGCACAAACCTCAGCCTCCACCGCCAAGCAAGAATTCTGAGACAACAGCGCAATCCCTCGATACTCGGAATCGCAACGCCTGTGCACTCTCCGATTACACTGGCAGCAAGTGAAGGAGTCCTCCTGCGACAGCGAGGTGGCGGCGAAGCAGTAGGAGCAGAGCTCCGAGGACTCGACGCGCGTGAGGCATTTCTTGCAGAGAAGAACGACGCGCCACTCGCTGTAGAGGATCTGAAGCTTGCTCTTGGCGCTGGCGTTGGCAATGTCGACTCTCAGGTGGCAACAATGGCACTCTGACAGATTCGGCAACTCTCTGGTTTTCTTCGTCGATTGCGATTGGAGATCTTCGTTGTTCTTCATTGAAGCATTTGGCAGCGACGACGATTTGCTTCGAATCAAAGGGGGTGGTTTTTGGTTGTAAATTAGGGTTCAATTCAAGCAAAATAGGGCCCCCTATCGATCGTGCCGCCAAGACGACGCCGTATAAGGAGATAACTGAATAGGCCTTTTTGTTTTTGTATGCCGCTTGTGCATGGTGTAACTGGTGTTGTTGCAATTGTATCAATTTGTCTACATTGATTATTGCTTTCCGTAACGGTAAAGCGTCATCTGCAATTTTAATTTTGAAATCGTCAAGAATATTATAAACTTAGTTAGCTTGTTCCAAAGGTTCCACTTCGCTTTAAAGGATAGGTAAAATAAAGAAAATACCAAGTTTGACCTAATTTCCTACCAAGCCGAAGCAGAAACAAATGTTTTCAATATCAATTTACAAAGTTTCAAAAATGAATATCAATTCGAATTTTAGAATCAACTTGATGTAGCCTTTGCATTGTTTCCACTTTCATCCTTGAATTCTTAAGGGGCGGTGCTATTTATATGCCCATTTTTTTCTTCTCGAATATTCCTCTTAATTTTCAACCGTTAGATCGAATGAATTAAAGAAGATCAATAGTAAAAAATTAATAAGAGTGTAAAAAGTAAAAATTGATGTAGGAATAGAACGATCCATTTTCAATTGCAAGACTTTGCGGCCTCATGTGCTTTGCTTTTGCCTATCCCATTCCACATCAGTCAATGAAGTTAACAATTTTCTCGATCAACCAGATGGAATTGAGAAATTTTTATGGGTATCCGAAATACAAAGCAGAACACCACAAGTTAAAATGTAAATTAAAGAAAAAATTGATATTTTCCACTTTGAAGTATAAATTTTAATGTGCCTTCACTTATATTATAACATGTAGTGTGCCGTCTTTTTTAGAGTGCACTAAAAAATCTTGATATGCCGGGCACAAAATGAAAGAACATGGGGCCAAATCGCACAATTAAAATTTTAGAGAGGAAAGTGAAATTTTGGTAATAATACAGGGGCACATAAACAAATAACAAGCTTACAGAACATGGAGATAAAATCCATGAAAACACCAAAATACCCTCCGAAGAAAAAGAAAGGAAGAAGAAGAAGACGCCGCCGATTTTTCAGACAGTGAGCGAACGCCGGAGAGAAAGAGAGAGAGAGAGAGAGAGAGAGAGAGAGAGAGAGAGAGTGACGATGGAGAAAAGAGAGGGAGAGGCAGAACCAGAACAGAAGGAAGAGGAGGAGCAGGTAGTGAATCCATGGATGGTGTCGGCCAAAGGTGGCGGGAAAATCGACTACGATAAGCTCATCGACCAGTTCGGCTGCCAGAGAATCGACCAGTCGCTCGTCGACCGCATCCACCGCCTCACCGGCCGTCCTCCTCACGTCTTCCTCCGCCGCGGCGTCTTCTTTGCCCACAGGTCCCTCTCTCTCTCTCTCTCTTAAGTTTTCATTTTTTTTTCTGGAAAAATTGCAAAAAGTTGAATTGGGGGTCGAATTTCGAGTTTATGTGAAATGCAGGGACTTGAATGAGATTCTGGATGCCTACGAGAGGGGAGACAAGTTCTATTTGTACACTGGACGAGGGCCCTCCTCCGAGGCTCTGCATTTGGGGCATCTTATCCCCTTCATGTTCACTAAGTAAGCTCCCACTGCATTGTTTTCTGATTATCTGATGTTGGTCTTTTCTGAAATTTTTTATCTTTTCGGGTTTTCGTGAGTGTGATCATCGGTATCTCTGTGCTTTGTGTTGGAATTGGTATTGCTCGCGTGCCCGATGTGAAGTAGATTTTGAAAAGTTTATGAATTGAATTATTTATGCAGATATTTGCAAGAGGTATTCAAGGTTCCGCTTGTTGTACAACTTACCGACGATGAGAAGTGCATGTGGAAAAATCTGACTGTGGAAGAGAGCCAGAGACTCGCCAGGGAG